AAAATCCTATCCATGGGCTAACCTCCCAACTCTCTCCCCTCCAAAACTTGGATTTATTGTATTGGAGCTCTCCAGGTAACATGAGCTACCCACAGAATGGCATGTCCTGCAGAGGTTAGAGGTTAGAAGGCCATCACAGGGCTGCTTGGACACAGAGAAATGGGAATCATGGAATCACAGAAAGGTTTGGGTTGGAAGGGACCTTAAAGCTCATCTCATTCCACCCCCTGCCATGGGCAGGGACACCTTCCACCATCCCAGGTTGCTCCAAGCTCCTTCCAAGCTGGCCTTGGACACTTCCAGGGATGGGGCAACCCACCATGTGTCCTCTATTCCAACACCACCTGCTGCTCAGCATCTCCACAAGTTCATTTTGGCCACAGTAATAACACACCACAGTCCTTGTCTGTAACCTCATCTATGCAGAACAGGGGGAGGAGAAAAGGTCCCTATCACAATCTTAACAAAATGAGATTAATACAAAAACCTATACAAAAAATACAGGAACTGACTCTGGAGCTGCATCAGTTTCCATCTGGAATAAAAGACAACCTGGGGTAGCTTAACCATGAGTAAGGATTTGTTCAATGGAGGAACACAACAAAAATAGAGTGGGTCTAGGTAGGAAAACACAGGTTAAACCAGGTACAGAGAGCAATTTTGGAGGGTACAGTTCCTGTCCTACTTGACATCCTTTGTGCAAATTCCCTGAGCATGATCCTCAGCTGACACAATTCTGATAGAAGCTTTAAGAAATGGGGAGGAAACAGAGAGGACTGATGGAATGGGAAAAATTCTTACCTAAATGAGTTCCTTGATGAGTTTTACTGGAAGGAGAAGGTGAAGAAATGAGAGTTTTAAACCCTGGGGGCCCCTGAACTACTGGTACAGATTTTCAGCCACATGCTGTGTGTGGGCATTTCTTGGGCCAGGCTGTGAGTTTGGCCACCAGGGCTAGAAATTATGTCCTACACCTGTAATTAAAAGAAGGATGAAAATGTGCAAATTAGTTTAAAATGTTCCTTTTTCCCAAACACCTACCAGACAGTAATGCAGCAGCCCAGGGATGAAGGGAACAAAGCCCTCAAGTGGTGCAGCAGCCAGAGAAGATGGTCTGGGAGGTGATGGTGGAGTCACTGTGCAGATCAGACACCAGACCTGAGTCTGCCAATAAGGCATGGGGGTACATAAATGATATTAGTTCAAGGAAATCAGGTGTGAAAACACAGAGATGACTGTCAGCATTCTGGGAAACCAGCTGAGACACAAATGGGATCCATGACTGCTCAGTGTGACACAAAATCAGCTGGGAGGCCACTGAGACTGCTGCAGGAAGAGATTGGAGTCTTCTACAAGTCAATAAAGTTTTTCTGACAAAGGTGCAAAACTGTGGGGAACAAGAAATGGGGAAATTAAAATTAAAAATGGAAACAACAAACATGGGGAAATTAGTTCAGTACATTTTCCTATTTGGGGAATAACATGAAGCTGAGCTCTGAAACAAAGAAGAAGCTGTCCTGACAGCAGTGGAACCAAGTCTGTTTTCCTATGGAACTGGACCCTTGTCTTCTCCCAGACCTCTGACACCTTCACCTGGGAGATCTTTACCTTTCTTTTGAATTTTGAGGGGTTCACAAGGCACAGGGGGTCTCCTGATGGATGTGCAATGCATGAATCTGGGTCCCTTGGATGGCCAGGGAGAACACAAGGAGCCAGCACAGAGGTTCCCCACGTGCTTTGTGTGACCAGCCACATCCAAGCACGTCCTTGATGGCTGGATGTACCTTGAAAACGAGCTTTTGCAGGATGGGGCAGAGAGAACCCCATGTCCAGGGACAACAGGACTCTCCCTGGACCGGGTGTGCTTTTATTCCACTTTATTCCCCTTGGAAACTCCCTCTGCACCACGACCACTGCAGTCATGCAGCTGAAATTGGGATATGGGAGCCTGGTCTTGGCCCCCCTCAACAAGCAAGCCATAAAAAGCAGCTTATTCAAGCAACTTAAGAACAAATAAAAGCAGCAAAACCTCCTTTCTCATGCTTTGCAGGCGGCCATACATCGTCAGTGGAAATTCTGCCAAACTTCTTGTTTAAATATAGGAGCTGTGCTTATTTGTATTGTTGGTGTCCCCACCAGGACCTGCTCTCCTTGCACGGGGATATTGTTTAGAATGAAGCCTGGGCTGGCTACTTTGCCATTAAAATTCCGTGCCAGCCCAGTGCTGACAATATTGAAGCTTTGCTAAATGTGTGGACGTGTGAGTTCATTAAATGGGTGCTGACTGTTGTTACACGAGTACAGCAGTTGAGTGCTTTCTGTATTAACCTTATCACCTGATGGGCAAAAGAAAAGGTTTAACTAAAGCTTAGGACTAATTGAACGGTATTTCAGTATTTTCTTATGTAAAACTGGTTCTGGTCTATTGTTTTTATTTATTTGCAATAACTGTGCTCATTCAAGTTTGTAATGACACTGCCATGGGTGAATAGAATTTGCTTTAAGTATTATTCTCCCTTTTCCTATCTCCTGCCTGCTCTAAACTGTGTCTCTCAGGAGAAAATCTGCAACAGAGCCTGGTAAAAAGACAACTCTCTAAGTACACATTCATTTTGGGGAGATATGTTCCCAAGCTGTGTTTTTAAAATTACTTTTCGCAGTTCCTGTTTATTTTCTCTGCCTGCCTTGGGTATTTCCTGTCGGGCTGAGCACCGAGCGTGGAGCTGGAGGAGATAGGAGAGAAAAAAACCTCTTGAAGAAAGGTGGGAGGTGTTTGATCATCAAGACACTGCACAAACCAGAGCACTTTCTTTGCTCGGTTGCCACTAGAGTATGCTCTCGTGCTATAAGTTCCAAGGATTTTTTTTTAGAAATAAATCACTCTGTGTAACACGAGGCCGCCTTTCAAATGCTTTCCACTTGCCCCAGTGGTTTTGTTTTTTCCTAAGTAATACTTTTTTTTTTTTTTTTAATTGCTGTTGAGAACATACTCAAAGCTCTGAGAAAGCCTGGAGGGTCGCTTTGTGGTGAGGTGAATCTAACTTGGGTTTGGGCAACTCCCAGCTTCCAGAGGGTGGGTGAAAATGGCCAAAAAATATCTTACCTGTCTCTAAAAAAACAACAAAAAAAGGGAGGTTTGCACGTCCTTCCTGTCTTGGTCAGACCCCTGGGTCATGGCTGATGAAGAAAGGGGAGGCAAATCTCACGAATTAATAGATTTCTGCTTACAGAAGAAACATGTAAATTCCCCTTTTCAACATAAAGTGTGCCTGTAATCCCAGCCTTTGAAATGGTGGTAGTTATTCAGTAAGATAAAGGCTGCTGTGAGCCTGCCCTACCACATTACAGCAAAGTACTTTGTCACTGGCACCCTAAAAGTTCCAGCTTCTGCATGACAAAGATATGAAACAACTTGCAGGACAATTAAAGAACAGTTTGTCCTCACCCTATTATTACCAGCCATTCTTCCACGTTTCGATATTTGCCCGTAAATTGCTACCTCCCCCATCAATATAATTGTAATCAGCCACGGTTAACATTTGTCTTTGGATGCCTTTTCCAAGGGAAACACAAAGAAGGAAAAATACGGCAAAGAAAAAAGCCACGCTCCGGATAAAGGGGCTCGCCAGCAGCCTGCTTTCACACACAGGCTGCGCACTTTGCTGCTAAAATTACATTTTAGGAGCCCCAACGGGTGCAGGAACAATGACCCCGCTCATTTCCATAGTGACAATGGCTGGTGGAGGATTGGAACATGTCTTTTTCCTCTCCCCGATGGTGCTCAGCCAACAAACCTGCCAAGGAGTTGGGTCCGTGGAAGCTCTGGGTCACCTCGGAGCTGGGAGGTTCCCTTTGGGATGGGAGGCAGCCATTCCCCAGGTGCTGCTCACACCCTCAAAAGCCAACACATCAAACATCACAGCTCCTCCAAACAGCCCCAGCGACTTCTGAGTGGGCCAGAACTTCAGATTTTCTGTACAGCCCGGCTGAGTGCGCAGAGCTTCCCTAAATTCATAAAATCATACTTGCCTTGGGTTGGAAGGGACCTTAAATGTCACCTGATGCCAACCACTTCCATGTGGAGGGACACCTTCCATTGGATGAGGTTGCTCCAAGCCTTGTCCAGCCTGGCCTTGGACATTTCCAGGGATCCAGGGGCAGCCACAGCTTCTTTGTGGCTTCACCACCCTCAGAGGGAAGAATTCCTTCCCAATATCCCATCCAAACCTTTTCTCTTTTAGTTTGAAGCCACTCCCTCTCATCCTATCACTCCATGCTCTTGTCCAAAGTCCCTCTCCATCTCCCTTGGAGCTCTTTCAGGCACTGGAAGGTCACAATTAGGTCACCCCAAATCCTGCTCTTTTCCAGGTGGAACAGCCCCAGCTCTCCCAGCCTTTCCCCACAGCAGAGCTGCTCCATCCCTCAAACCATCCTGGTGTCCTCCTCGGGACTCCAGCAGGTCGATGTCCCTCCTGTGCTGGGGACCCCGGATTTCCCTTTAATCCTTCCTTGTTTTCATCTTCCAGGGGTTTTGTGCTGCTGTTTCAGCGGGACCCTTTGGCAGCAGCTTCCCCAGCCCCCAGAACACGATGTGTGTTCCCTCAGTTGTGGCAGCCCTTAATCCTGCTCTTTTTTTTTTTTCCCTTAATAAATGCAAACCTAATTTTCTAACGTCTCCACTTAGATCTAATCCATAAGGCTGTTTATTATCCTCGTTACCCTCTTCTATACCTTTTTCATTTGTATTCAAAAGCCTCTCTTTAATCTGTCTCAATTCTGCAGGTATGGCCTCGCCGCTCTTTCGTACAATCCCATAATGATTTCCACGGATGTGTTCTAGTCCTCTATCGATAGGTCTCGGGATGCTATTTGCCTTCCTTAACTACTTCCCGCAGCGGGAATCGCTGCTTTTAATATTCCGTGCGCTGACACTTTCAATCCTTTCCGTCACCAGCATCTTGTGCCACTCCATGCAGGGGTTAAATCTTTATTATTTCTGCATGGCCACACTGGGGCTGTGGTGGAGCGGCTGCAGCCTGCACCCAGCCCTGTCCGAGGAGGGGTCTGATGTGCCTGAGAGCGGCCAGAAGGAGCTGATCCTTAAAAAACCTCATCCTGAAGGGACGATCCTGGGAGCAAGGGAGAGACAGGACGGGCTCCAGTCCCGTCCTCCCCTCCGCTTCTTCGCGGTGGTTTCGTCCCGTCCCCCCCTACCCCTCCCTTCCCACGTTGGTCCCGTCCGGCTGCCCGGCAGCATTCACCCTCCGCCATGCCCACTCTGGCTGTACCAACTCCTCTCAAGGGGGGAGAATGGAAGAGAGCGGGAGGCCGCGCGGAATCGCCTTACCAGCTTTGAGGCTCTCTCTTTTCTCTGACTCAGAGTTACAATAAGGGAAGCCCCGGAAGGCGCTTTGGGGAGAGCGAGAAGGCGAGCGGGGCAGGGATGCTCCCCCCGCCAGGCTGTGGATGGCACAGCCCGCCCGCCCCGCGCGGCCGAACCCGGAAGGTGGCGGCGCACATGGGAGCGGGGGCCGGGACCGGCATCGGCACCGGGATCGGGATAGGGAACGGGGCGGGAGGAGCCGCCGGGGCGCTGGGCGCTGTCGTGGCTGCTCTCTACACGGCCACGCTGCCGCCCGCCCTGCCTGGCGGGGATGCGGGTAAAGTACCGGGTCACGGCAGCGGCGACGGTGGGGACCCTCGGCCCGTAGCGGCTGGTGCCTCGCGGTCAGGCTTCGGCAGGGGTGGGGGGACGAGCCCTTAGGGACTGGTGCATTGCTGTCACCCCATGGGGTTGCTGTCACCCCGTAGGAACTCGTGCATCAGTGTCACCCCTGCAGGGTTGCTCACTCCAGAGGAGCTGGTGCATTGCTGTCACCCCATAAGCTTGCTGTCATCCCATAGGGATGCTCATCCTATAGAGACCGGTGCATTGCTCTCACCCCTCTAGGGTTGCTCAGTTCAGAGGGGCTGGTGCATTGCTCGCACCCCATTAGGTTGGCTGTCATCCCATAGGAATGCTCATCCTATAAGGGGCTGTCACCCCTTATGTTGGCTGTTATCCTATAGAGACTGGGGCATTGGTGTCACTGCAGAGGGTGGCTGTCACCCCATAAGGATGCTCATCCTGTAGATGAACTGCTGTCACCCCATAGCGTTGCTGGTCCCATGAGGTCCCTGTAGCCACTGGTGCAGTACAGCCGCTTTTGGGGTGCTCACCCCATTGGGGTTGATGGCACTGGCCCCACAGGTGGGTGCAGCAGGGACACCCTGCATTGGGGTGGGCGCCCCTCGGGGCAGTGGGGTCAGCACAGCAAGGTCTCCCCTGGGGCTGATGCCCTCGGGCCACCCCATAATGGTTTGCCTGTATTTGAGCCTTTCAGCAAAGGATTTAGCCAGAGGCCCTAGGGGCAGCTGGTGGCTTTAGGAGACAGATGTGCCATCCTGCCAGATGTGCTGTCACTGTCACTTCCCTGGGCTTGTGCAGCAGGGAAATCTTTGGATCCGACTGTCTGGAAGTGCAGCTTCCTGACAGTGTCAGACTGTCTGAATTTTTGTGTTTGGCACTTCAGATCCCACGGGTGGGACAGAGTTCTCCTGTTTGGTCCTGCTCTGGTTTTACTGATTTAACTTGTTCTTGCTTAAAAAACACTTTGGTTTCATGTGTGTGGTTTGGAGATAGGAGGGCTTGTTTTTTCTTGGGACTATGTTGATAATTTTTATTTCATGGAACAAGTGTCCAGGATACTTTCTTTCTGTGTCATCCTAGAAAAGTGTTTAGTGGCTCTGCTTAACACTGTGCCTCCTGGTTATCAGTGGTTTCAAATCCAAGCTGTGCATGAAATTCCTTCTAAATGAATGGCATTTTAATGGGTTCATGTATTTTACAGGCTTAGGATGTATGGAGAGAGAGAGGCACTGGCCAGGCTGGCCATGTGCATCCTGATGGCTTTTGCTTCTGCTCCCAAGTTACTAAAAGGGCTGGCTTTGCTCCTTCTGGGTGAATCAATTAATATGTGATGATTGATATATTTACAGTTGTTGCCATTTTGGTTTTTATTATAATTTTTGCTCATTTTTTGTCTGTGGAAAGCACCCTGTGCTCTGAGCTGTCCGTGCTGCATGAAGCCTCAGGAACCTTGTTTTTAATTGTGCTTGAGCTGGATTCTCCCTCTAGGATGTAAATAACCATGAGCAGCCTTTGCAGAGAGGGATGGAAGTTCTCCTGATAATGTGAGGGATGGATGCTGAGATTCCTTTTTTTGTTTGATGTGGATTATCCCAGTAGACAGAGCGAGCAACCAAACAGCACGTGGGTTCATCCCCCTTTCCATGGATGATTGTGCTGTTAGAGCAGATCTCTCAGGACAGTGTCCCCTGACCAGCCCTGTGACCTCACTCCTTGTCTCTCCTTATTTATTTATTTTCTGGATTTTCTTCTAAATTTGCTGCCTGGCTTCCATGTGTTCAGTGGGACTGAGCAGCCACAGGCTCATCCCTGCTGTCCCCTTGTGCCTGTCCCAGCCAGCATTGTGTCCCATCACAGTGTCAGGACTTTTTTGGGGCATTATTGCCCTGATTTCTCATGGCTTGAGCATGGAATTCCTCAGCTGGAGTCCCTGGAATGTCTGTGCATGGCCCTGCTCAAGGTGTTTAATTTGCCTGTGCCTGAGCACAGAGCTCAGACTTGTGCCACCAAAAGCACTGAGGCTACTTTTGTGAGTAAAGAGCTGCTTAAGGATTTTCTGTATCTGCTTCCAGACAGGGAGCCTAGTGTTTTATTTTATTTTTAAAGCTATCTGTATTTTTAATTGTTCCCAAAATTTGCAGTAATCCAAAAATGTCAAGGGCAGTCGGTATTTCCACTGGCAGTTTGCTTGTGTTACTGAGTGTTAGAATAAAGAAATGAATGAGAGAATAATGGGAGGAGAAGGAATTGTAATTCAGAAACATCCACGGATGTTAAAATAGCTTAAAAAGGAATCAAATAAAGTTTAAAAAAAAAGAAGAAAGAAAGAAACCAACCAAATGTTTCCTGTGATGTTTCAAACATCAGCTCCCAATCTTGCTGGGAATAAATCACCTTTATTGGGGGTAGTCAGACTGGGCAGTGAGAAACTTGTTTACATCAGGAATTACAGAATATTCTGAGTTAAAAGGGACACACAAGGATCATTGAGTCCAACTCCTGGCCTTGTGGAGTTGGACAGAATAAACTTTTCAATTTGAGCCAGTGCCTGAAGATACCACAGATCATTCTGTCTCACAAGACATTGAAACCAAATTTGTGGGTGCTGTGTGTGTTTTGCTTTGTGCGTGTGTGTTTTGTTTTTTAATATTAGTGTTCCTCACTCCTCCAGCCCATGGAGGCTGTAAGGGATGCTCAGGTGTGTGGGTGGGAGATGGAGAATCAACCTTATCCCAAGTAGTGGGTGTTATGTACTTATTTTGATTTTCCCACTTGAATTCAACAGGCCTGCAGCCTGTGAGCTTAATTTTTGCAGGTCTTTTTGTTTTGTTTTTTTTTCCTTAATTCTTACAAGGCCAAGTTGTGCTGTTGTCTTTCAAAGCTTGGCAGTGGCTTCCACCAGTGGTTTATTCATATTATTTTTGCAGCTTCCTGGTGGATTTGTGGCTTTATTTCTTTGGGGTTATTCTTGCCCTTGATATAAATGCCACAGCATTGTGAATGAACTTAACGTTTTGCTGGTTTAGATGCACATATTGCTGCATCCCAGAAGGACTTCAGTGGAGCTGAATCCATGCCTGGCTTGGGAGCAGCATCCCAGGGATGTGCTGGGTGATGGGCACCACCAGCTGCTGCACACTGGGGACCCTCTACAGTGCCAGATTTAGGGTTTCCTTTATTATCATCATCCTTTGCTGTGTGCAGGAGGATTTATCCCTCCCCAGCCTCACCATGCCCTAGAAATGCTGGAGCTGCTGAGCACTGAAGGGCTCAGAATTGGGATGGATTATTTTCCCATTGCACCCACTTTTTGGGGGCTGTGTTGCAGTAGGGTGAAGTTTTCCTGAAATAAGAATAGCAAGTGCAGGAAACTCCGTGTCTGAGAGATTTTGGTGCAAAAAGTGGCAACTTTGTCCCCAGCCATTGCCAGGCCACAGCTCTAATTCTGCAGAAGTTGCCACTAGCAGTAATGGGCTGACTTGCATCTTTGTTTTAAAATGCAGCATTTACTGTGGTGTCGGGATTTAAAGGTGCCATTTGTACAACACCTTCCTCCCCTCTGCATGGCGTGGTGAGGACGTGATCGTACAGAAATTTAAAATATTGTTAATTTGGCATTTAAAGCCACCAGCGCCCTTCGTTTGGACCTTTCCCATCTAACAATGCTGCCATGACCTTGGTGCTTGCAAAATTAGCTGGACCAGTAAAATTGGATTATGGAATTGGAGGGAAAGAAGGAAAACCAGCCATAATTTTTAATTTTGTTGGTCCCTGAATGTGTTATGCCTATTGAATATATTCAGTGTACGTTGTTCAGGAGTGTTTGCTGCAAAATGCTCCGGTGTCAAGTGCTATAAAAATGCCAAGTATTCTGCTAACGTGGGGGTTTTTTATGGCAGTTATTTATCCTGGCATAAATTACAAACAAAATGCAAAATCTGAATGTTGTTTCTAATCTAAATGCTGTTTCTGGGTGCAGTGTCCACTGACAGGTAAAAGAGTTACTTGTGAAGCAGAATTGCTTTAGCATCAAGGGACAGAATCATTCCCAGATAAATGGATGCAGATTTGCGTAATCAGTGATTATATTTTTCCTCTTTAAAAACTGTAAAGCTCTGGTTTTATGTTGGTTTCTTTTTTTTTTTTTTAATGAGAAACAACTGGGTTGTTGAACAGACAATGCAGCTTAAGCATTGCAAACTGTAGTGCTTGAAAGTTATTGAGTCAGATGGTTTTAAATTAAAAATACACACACACAAACGTCTGCATTTTGAGTATCTCAGGCCATTCTTTGCCCGAGCCTACCTATATTTTCACTTATCTGTTCATAAAAGTCTCACGAAAACATACAAAAGATATTTTTTGCAATGACATCAGAGGGAGAAAATATTCTTAGAAAATTTCATGCTGTTAAATCTCCACAGATTTACAGTTTTATCCAGTCAAATTAATGCAAAACCCCAATGCAAGCATTTGGATTTTGAAAACTTTGGAGGAGTGTCATTTCCTAATAGTAATTATTGGTTTTACATTATTTTTTCACAGGGGAGCTGATCACAGCCGCATATGAGCTTGGAGTAAGTATTAGTTTTATTGTTTAATCAATGCTCTCATTAACAGTTTTAGGAATTAAGGAAGTTTAATTAAGCATGGAGTAAAGTAGATTAATTTATTTTCAAACCACAGTTTTTACTAACTTATAAGTACAGCACGCGACAATTTACTTCAAGTTTTAAATCCAATTAAACTAAATTATAAAGCAAAGGCTTTACTGTATATACAGTAGCTGGCTTATTATCAACCCAAATTTTGTATAAGCTGGGGAGAATAAAATAAATCGGGTTAACAATTTTAATAAGTTTTATTATTTAATAAACTTTATTATGGTGCATGATCCCTTTAGGCAAGACCTTAGGACTGTCAGCGCGGTGGTAATCCGATAGCAGTGTGGTCTTTCAACTTGCTAACCAATAAAATAGTTGAGAAGCTCCTTTAAAAAAAAAATAAATAAAAGGGAAAAAAAAAAAAAAAACAACAGCCTTTTGAATGACCCTAATATACTGTGAACCCAAACAAGGAGCCCTTTAAGGCACGCTAATGAAACGTGGCACCTCCTTTTCCTCGCCGCCTCATTATTATGGACGAGGCGTGGAGCCAGATCCACGGAGGAAAAATAATCTTTGTGGGGCTGGGATGGGCACTGAGGGTGGGGATGGGCACTGGGGGTTAGGATGGGTACCAGGGTTGGGATGGGCACTGAAGGCTGGGATGGGTACCAGGGGTGGGGATGTGTACCAGGGATTGGGATGGGTACCAGGGATTGGGATGGGTACCAGGGATTGGGATGGGTACCAGGAGTGGGGATAGGTACTGGGATTTAGGATAGGTACTGGGGTTGGGGATGGATACCAGGGATTGGGACTGGGATTGGGATAGGTACTGGGGGTGGCTGGGGGAGTGGAGCCGCTCAGGGCTGCCCTGCTCCCATTCCCATCCTCTCCCACTCCTATTCCTGTCCTCTCCCATTCCCAGCCTCTCCCCCTTTCCAACCCCGTGTCCCTCTGTCCGTAGGTCGCCCACCCTCCGGGCTACCCCCTGTTCACGCTGCTGGCCAAAGTGGCCACGGGGCTGCCCTGCGGCTCCCCCGCCTTCCGAGTCAATCTCCTCTGCGGCTTGGTGGGAGCAGCTGCTGCCTCTTTGCTTTTTTGCACGGTTTTCAGGTAAAGTTCTCGAGGATGCTTTTTTCCTTGGCTTCGTGGTGCTTCCCCAGCGGCTCGGGACGTGCCCCAAGGCTCCCTCTGCTCCCTGCTGGCCTTCAGACCAGCGTTCCCCCCCATTCCCTAATTAGTTCCTCTGATTAACCTAACAGTAACTTAATCTGAATTTGACCTTCTTTCCCCGCACAAAAGCCTACCCCCCTCTTTTATTTTCCCCCACACCCCTTTTCTTTTCTGTTAAATAATAATAATAGCAGTAATAAAAAGTGCGCCCTTTCCCTTGCCCAGCCGTGACAGGTTGTTCAGGCTCATTATCACAAATCACCGCTCGGTTTAACTAACCAGAACTAATGAAGTTTGTCGTTCTCGAAAGATGCAGATGGTCTGTTTAAATTAACAGGATGAGCTTCACCTATGGGGAAACCGTGAACTTGGTTTAATTGCAGCTCCCGGCGGAGGTGGGTGGGCAGTTGCCTGCCCGTGGTACCCGAGGAGCAGGGAGAGCATCCCTGCCTTCCCCCGGGGCTGCGGGGAATGTCCGGAGCCTCCTCCCCGGACCTCTAACCTGGGGAGGACAGGGAACAATCGGGATGCTCACGTGCTTGTGGGGTTTTTTGTTAACCCTGCTCGTCTTTGATGTGCAAGTTCTGGCTGCTCTTAACCTCAGCCTGACCCATATTTGAGAGGATTATGGCAACCCGTATAAACAATTTCTGATGTTCTTTTGCAGGGAAAATAGGGCACGTTTTGAGGCTGCGGATGGTATCGGGGCGCTTGGGGATGAGACGGGGCTCTTCCCGACCGGGATTATTTTGACAAAAGCCTTTTTCTCCCACCCCTCAGGAAAACCTTCCCAGGGAGTGAAAGCAACCTAGAAATAAAAGCAGGAATAGATGGGGAGGTGGTGGGGAGCAGATTCTGTGCAGCCTGAGAGCCCTGAGCTCACTTAAACTTGGTTCCACAGCGTCCACCTTCCTCTGCTGAAGATTTTTTGCACGTCACCTTGCACACAGCATCAGCTCCAAAGCACACCTACCGGAATTGCTTGAGTACTTCCTAAATATTTCTGTAGGCATTTAAAGTGATTTCTTTCACTGGTGGCTAATACATGTAATTAAGCCGGCGTTATTTAATTTAATATCCTGTATTTCACAGCCCGTTTGGGAGGCTGGAAGTGGCGCTGCCCTCCCGTGCACGGCGCCCGGAGCAGCATCAGAGCACAGCTCCATTCTGTTAAAAACTCCTGCGAGGAGTTGCTGGAGGTTTTCTATATTTGGTTCTGGTTTCTTTTTTAATGATGGTTATTCCCATGATGGCAGTTTTTTGGGAGATCTTCCCCAGTTTTTAGTTTGAACCGCAGAGTGACAGTTCCTTGTGTGCCCGCTCTGTGCTTTGGAAATGATGCAGTCGTTCCTTTAGAGAAATAAAGGTACAGGAGAGAAATGACAGGCTGAATTTGAGAATTATTTGGGGAATTGCTTTAGCACTTCTGAAGGTTTAGGTGTTTTGTTGTTGTTTAATTGGATTTGGAAGACGGCGCTTCTATCAAATTCAGAATTTGCATGAAGGAACGAAAAATGTGGAAGCAAGAGATGATAAAAACTATTAAGACTTATAAAAATAATTTCATAGATACTGACAGGATCAATTATTCAGCCTAGTAGTATTTGATGTTTATTTTTTTTTTAATAATTGTAAGTTCAGTTTTATTTCCAAATTACAGTGTTACATTTTTCCTTTCAAGCACCTTAAAACTGATTTATTTTTTGGGATATTCATTTGGCTAAAACAATAAAAAGGAAAAAATATTGCTTTTTAATTTACTTTTATAAGAAAAAAATTAGGAGGTGCTCACTGGCACTGTCTGCTTGAAGCTGTAGCAGTCTGAGAGTCATGTGGTGTGTTTTAAACTGGGCTCACAAAGAGACTAAACGGGTCTATCAAATCCCCCCTCATTTTTGTGTTCAAATAAAATTATCCTGTGGGATGACACCTACAAGGTACCAGTGGCAAAATCAGCACCTGCTCCTCTTGCCAGGCGAAACGTGGATGTTAATATGAAAATATGTAGATGTTAGGAGTACAAATAATTGATGAAGTACACATCCTTCGGGAGCAACACGGTTCAAGTGGCAAATCTGCCTGCTCAAACAATAGCCACCCTCCAGCCGGGAGGAAGCCATCTCTATGGAAATGGGGCTGACGCTGCCCTATTGATCGAGTGAAGAAGACATTATACAATGTCAGTTGGGTTGTTACAATTTCATTTGTCGTCTGACCTGAACTTAACCTCTAAAACCTCTCTTTTCTCCCCGCCAGCCGGGCAGGGTTGCTGTTTACCCTCGCACGGGGTTTTGCTGTGCCTCCCTCTCTCCCTCCCAGCATCCCCGTACAGTAAATATCTCCCTTTTTTCCCCCCCTTCTTTTTTGGTTTTGTTCTGTTTTATAAAATTCCCCATTGATTCTTTTTGTTTGAGTCATTTCCCGGAGTTTATTCCTCGGCAGGTCGGGACGATTTTATTGCTTAAGGGGAAGAGTCGCCGTTCCCTCTGTGGTGTTTGGGATGTTGTGGCACGTGCGGGATTAGGGTGGAATTTATTCCTTGAGCAGATTTCTCCTTTGCCAGGTGACGGCTGGCGGGATGCTCCGTGCAGGCAGCGCGGGGGTCGAGAGGAAGCAGCCGCCGCATCACGTCCGTTTGTTAATTTTTATTGTGTTGTAATATACGATGTTACTCATTTAATTGCATTATTTTTTAAAGCCTGGATTGTTCTTCTCGAAGCAAAAATTACGTCGCAGCACATTGATGCAGAAAGCCTTTTTGTCAGTAATCCAGACTATCGCTGAACGAGCCCTTTGCTCCTTTGAGTGACTTCTCAAGTATGGATTCCCCCCCCCCCGCACAGTCTTAATAAATTGCTTGTAATTATTGTAAAATGCCATTTACAAAGAGTTTTCTCGGACTGTTTGTAACTGAGGCAAATAATTCATCTTTGTTTTGAAGGAGGGGGGGGAGCTGCTTTATGTTTTTAGGACTCAGCGAGTGCAGCTCTAGGATTGTTTCTTTAAACAACTATTTATTTGTTTTACTGTGGGAGGCAAAGCATAGCAAGTTTACAAAGTAAACCAATTATCTTCTTATAATATGATTGCCAAAGTGTCATTTTCTGCACAGGGGATGCATTCTTTGCATTCTCTGCTGCAAAGAGAAATAGGAAGCTTTCCCCTGCTCTAAGTGCATTTTTTTTTCAGTGTATACCTTTCGTAGTTTGGCTGTTTTGGGGTTTCTAAATACACAAAGCTGTTTTTTGTTGCAGAGGCAGTAGCAGAGTGGACGGTGTCATTGCCCTGGTATTTGTAGGAAGTTTTTGCCAGCTTTTTTCTGGCTGAGTTAAGCACAGATTTTTGAAAAGGGGGAAGATGTTGCATTAAATTTAGCAGTTCACATCTCTCTGGTTTGCTTTTCTGGGTATCATATTAACTTTTGGATTAATATGTTATACATCTGTATTTTTATATATCTGTTATATTTTAAATAGATATATTTGTATTCCCTTCCCACTGAACCTTCCAGGCATCAGACTGTGAGTGTATATAAAACCCAGAGCCAACTCTTCTCCCACCGCCAACAAAAAGGAGAATTAGGCATGTTGGATAATGAAATAATCAAAATTATTCCATCATTTTGAAATCATTGGGATGTTTTGGAAGTGGCACTTGACTGTCTTGATGGCACTGAGCTTTCTGGCTCCCAGGGTGTGTGTCCTGGAGCTCTTGTGGGAAGGTCCCTGAGGAGGATCAGTGACCTTCATGGACATTTCAGAGGGACCTGATGGCTGATGCTCCCTTAAAAGTGCTCTGTGCTGGGAAAAGTTGTGTGCTGGCCCTGAGGAGTGAGGAAATGCTCCATGTCCCTGGGGTACACGGGTTTGCCAGAGCAGGATTCATCCCTGAACACTCTGACCCCTTTTTTTGTGGATGTGACTTGGGGAAGATGGAGGGATGAGAGAGGAGCCAGTGCCCGCTCAACCAGAGTGAGAAATTAAGAAATTTGGGGAAGGAGGAATCTCCTTACAGGGCGTGTTTGGGTTTTTCCAGATTACAGATTATCGTAGATTATCTCTGTTGTAGCACAGCAGGAACGTCTCAGGCATTTGGAAAGCAGCTGTGCTTAGCGAGAAGTAGTTACAAAGTTTAGGGAGGGAGAGGAGAAAGGAATGTACTCAGGTACTAATTTGCTTTTAGAAAATCTACCGTGACCTCTGGCTAATTGATCACATATCTGTTTTTATTTTTTTTTCCCACTTGTCCCCAGAATAAACCGGCGCTGAGTTCAGTCTGTTTGAAGACGCTGCCAAATCTGTTCATTTGCATTTGGCTCTAAAGTAGGCACACGAGGCTGCAGTAACTCTGCTTCATTTTGAAAAGGGGAGCGGGGGGAGAAGAAAAAGCAGGGCAAAAAAACTCTTTTTTTTTTTCCTTTTTCTTTTTTTTTTTTTTTTTTTTTAAAGACTGAAGAGTCTTTTCTGACAGCTAGTCAGAGTTAGAATTAGTTCAAGGAAATGTTAATAATGCACTGCCTGGCTTAATCCCTTTGATATCACCAGGTATCCTCCTGTTCATGGGTTAATTGCTTTAAAAGCGGAGGCAATATTCTGAGCGGTGGGCCGCTTCACCTTTTCACAGCTGTTACCATTGAGTGACAACTAAATCCCATGTGTAAGATGAGGAAGAGCTCAATCTCCAATTGGGAGAAAATTTATGTAAACCGCAATCCCTTCAGAATGTGCGGAAGTCACAGACTTTCTTGATTTACTCTGCTTTTCCCAGAAAGCTCCATTGTTCCCTTCCCTAAGTCCCATCAACCCTTTGTAGCAGAATATCACAGCGGCGGCAGATAGCTTGAAATATATAAATGCTATCATAGCTCTGATTAATAGCGGCGCTTATGAGTCAAGTCTGATAACGGAGCAGCTCTCCACTCAATTTCAGATACCGCTAAT